AGTGACTTTTAAAGCAAAGAAGTAATCCCACTAGCTCAAGGAAGTTCCATGTAGGCTTAATCCATCATCAAACCATTCCTGGAGGTTTTGTCAAAGTCCCTCAAGTTTCACTCCAAGAGATAAGTTTTCTTAAACTTGGAACTCTTCATTCAAACATCATTTGTATCTACTTTGTGAAGGAAAAATATAGACATCATGTCTAGGAAGCTGACCATGTCCATAGTTTTGATTATCATTGCTTGTACATTAAAAATTTCATCTCTGAACAGTTAGGTCTTAGTTTTGGTATTGAACAAAATTCATGCTAGCCTTAGATCCATAGCTGTTGAAAACCATGTGGTTAGGTTCTTATTTAAATCTTAGGCATATTTGATGTTTACATTTTTTTTATTCAACTGAGAAATGGGGCTTTTAAAAGCTTAACAAATGGAGTCATCATGGCCTATGCGTACAAGGGAGAGGAAGCTGGGCATTTCTCCATTCACAAACAAGTTTGTTCTACAAACGAATGAAGCAGACCACCCCAGTGGTACGAACAACGCGCACTAAGGATTGTCTTGTCGAAGATCCTGGATTCGACCCCCAGCCAGACCATTTGTCATTTTTCATATTTTCTCACTTTGTCTTATTTGCAAGAAGCATACCTGGGCCTCCACAGTTGGGCTTCAACATTTTTATGTTTCTGACCCCTTGATTACTAACTAACAAACAGGTCTTGGACCCAAACACAAAACCGTTTTCTACACAAAAACTGTTTTAAACACAAAAAACTGTTTTCTATACAAAAACACCTCAAATTCAACTTTCACCCCTTCCTGGCTTATTTTATTTTTTATTTCCTATTTTCTTTATTATTATCATTAGTATTATTTTTATTAATATGGAAAAAGACCAAAAAATATTTTCCTATTTATTTTCTTTTCTTTAACTTAATCTTAATTTGTACTTTATTTTAATTAAATTTCCTTTTAGTTAAATAGGCCAAAATCTTTCTTTAACAAAATCAAAACAAATTCATTTTTCTTTTCATTCATGTCTTGTACATTATGTTTCTTTCAATTCTTATACATTATTCAAGTTTCAATATGGTTGTAATAGATAATTAGGTTTAAATTCTTGCGACCCCCATTTGTAAATTTGTACACCCCATCCCCAAATGATGTAATAGCGTAGTAAATTTACTTTCCCCAACTTATCGCTTTCATATAAATGCTAGTAATTAGGGATTGTATGGAAAGACAAAATCAATGATTTTAAAACGCTAATCCAAGATAAATCAAGCATGAAAAACAAACACTTTGCACACTTGCACCTCTAGGGTTACCTCCACTTGTTGCCTTGAGAAAATGGTCATAGTATACATGTGAGACATCTTAGCAAAAACAATCAAAAATACAAGATTATCGTCCCTCGACGATGCTACGAATGTTGCCTTACAAATGATCTTATTCCCTCAAGAGAAATGCTAAGATATCTCACAACATTGTTATTCATGACTATATGATTACCCACGCCCGTCCCTTTACATCCAAAGATAAGGCTTCTTACCAATCAATGGTAAGATAGAAATATCAAAGGAAGGAAGAAATGAACAAAAGACTTTTGAGTAGGTAGAATGTTCTTAGTTGCTTGCTCACAATCCATATTCAAAAAACAAACATCTTTTCAAACACATTACACACTTTCAAAAACATGAAATATTTTCAAAAGGTCAACACTTTGTATGCATTCTTATAGAGACGGGAATCATTACAAAGTTTGCCTAAACAAATACACTTTTTCAAAAATACTTTCAAAACCCACCACAAACACATTTCAAACCAAGCAATTTCAAAAGTGATCTAGCAAGCAACTAAGAGCTCGTAGATAACTACAGATGAAAAGGGTGCTAACACATTCCCTTTTCATAATCTACCCCCGAACTCAAGAAAATATCTCAAAGTTTTTTCCTGTTCTTTTCACCCTTTCCTTATTTGATAAAAGAAAAGTCGGTGGCGACTCTTGCTATCCGAAATAATTGCGATCAAATGTAAAACAACCAAGGCAGTTCTCCTATCGTATTACACTTGAAAACGCATAGTATCCAGAAACAGTCAAGCCTTCACTAAGAGAAATTTAGCAAGAAAAACCTTGACGTCACTCCTTGTTTCCCAATTTGATACAATGTGTGACCGCTTCAGATGTAAGGCTACTGCAATTTCTTGAGGTTGTGGATATTTCTCTAAACTAGTGAAAGGTATTAGATTGAGAGCAGGTATTCCCAGTAATTAAGAAAACTCTTCCATTGTGGGTACCAACTGATAATCGGGAAAGGTGAAGCAGTGATATGTTGGGTCAAAGAACTGGAATAAAACACTCATCATGTCTTTTTCAAAACCCGAGGTAACCAAAATGAGTAGTTGACCATGCCTTTTGATGAATGGAAAAATTTCGGGAACCCTTGAGACTAACTCCTTAAATTGAGAAGGTGTCTTTGCAAAACTGATCCGGACAGTGTTTCTGCGAGTAGAGGCTATAACGTACAAAACAGAACAAAGATAAATCTCTAGGTCCTTAAAATGGTTAGTGAAAATGATATGTGTAATGATGTCATGATGTTATGTTGTCATGTTCGAACAATTTAATCAAACACAAACAAAACAAATAAGGCCTTAGGTTTAAGTTTGTATGGAGTTTGTAGGCAAGTACCCTCTTGAAGTTTTAGTTGGCTTAACTTGTCCTAAAAGAAGTAACCGGGTTCTAGGAGCCTCAATATCACTGATCTTTCTCTCAGGCATTGTTTCAGCACAAATATCTGAATTGCGATCGAAATGTCCTGAGAGTCCAATCTCAATGAGTGTAGCATCGAGTATCAACCAACTGAAGTCTGCACTAAATCCGGCTATCTCACTACTTTCTGATGGCTAAGTTGTGTCAACTTAGGTTCTAAGGTCAGTTAGTGCTTATGACACCACGCGGTAGCCCAGCATTCTCCTTGACTTACTCAAGAGACACCAGATATTCAATCATCTACACTAGTCATGTAATTACATCGTGATGTATGTATGCATGAGGACGAAGACGGACATATGCATGGATATGAAGATTGTGCACCACCATCATCATGTAAACTCTATATATAGACATGTTGCACATTATTAATGTAATCAATCATTCACTCAAATCTATTAGTGCCCCCGAAAGTTCATGAATATTTTGATCACAAACTTTATTTTTTATCCATGCCTAGAAAGCATATTTTATTTATAAAATTAACTTTGATTTCCCTGGTACCTTCAACAATTGAAAATAAATTTTGAATTTTGATGAATCAAATATACATCCTTATGAGAAAAATTATATTGTTTGATTAAAGATATAGAGGAATCTTTTTAGTCTGGATAGTGAAAAAGAATAATAAAATAATTTCAATCTTTTTAATGTGGATAGTGAAAAAGAATAATAAAATAATTTCAAGGTATTGGGATGTCGATTTGAATCTGTTAACAGAGATCTCCGTGGAGATTATCTATTTGGAGATTCGACAATGGGGATTTTATCCTCCGCGGGAATGGGGATGGAGGGAAAAATTCTTCTGATGGCACTTTTAGGCGGGAATTAGGAAAGTACCCTCTGCCCTGCAGATTCTCCAATCCCGACTATATTCTTTAACTTTTATATATAATTATATAATTTTACATGTTTTTTTATAAAAAAATAACTGATAGATTAGGATGAAGAGTCATCAATGAATAATTGCCTTGAAATTAGTGATTATCATCCAATTCTATTTTGTTATGTATTGTTAGATATTTATGAGCATGTTTTTTTTTTAGATATTTGACAATTCTAATTTTCTATTTTTTATATGCATTATGATATATTTAGGTTATGAGTTTTTGTATGAATATGCATGATAACATGTTATGTTTGATCTTTATTATTTTGAAGTAAAATGAAATATTAAAAACTGCAAATACTTTTGCATTTTTGTTTGCTATTGATTGATGCAAATACTTGAGTTTTTGTTTGCTATTGATGTAAGATGTGTTTTTATTTTTATTTTAAATAAAGATGGAAAATATATAACATTTTTTATAAAAAAAAAAATTTATGAAATACTAGTGTCATAATTTTGATCGAAAAATATAGAAATTTTCTTAAGACTCGTGGATCTCCATGGAAACTATGGGGATCCGTGGGAACGGAGAAGTATTCTCCGCACATTCTCTACCATGTTGACATCCCTAGACATATAGAACAAGTAGAATTGACCGATGTGAAGGTTTATTCAATTTTTCGAATATATATACTATATAGTTTTTCTTTACAGTAACTAAATAGTTTTTGAGAAAATGAGTGACGCACTAACCGTTTAAATTAATTTTATATTATCAATTAATCACAAATATCTATTAGAACACGTCACCTTTTTACTTAAAAAATATTTTAATAACATACTAGATTGTTAGTTTACTGTTAAATGACAACTATTTTACATTGCATATCCATTAAACCCATAGTTTTATAATTTCCAAATTTTGGCTTAAGATATTTTTAGTGGGCAAATGTTTGTTTGAAGGGTTTGAGTCCTTTTGTACTTGACTGATATTATTATTTTACACAGCAAGGGGTCATCAAAATGCAAGAAGCCAATACGACAAGGGAAATTACACAGCCGGGACAGATTTCACCAGCTTCAATCTTATTAGAAAGACTGACTATTCAACTCGTTCATGATGCCTGCATATTAAACAAATCCTAAAAGCTGTGTTCCTGTAAACTAAGAAACAATATGCTTCTCAAAACCAAAGACATGATATACCAACTAGTTGTGTTGGAGAGATTTAATAGATAGAGTAACTCTCACAATATGATGCACAAGAGAGCAAATAATAATAGTATATACAGACTTGATAACAGAATAAAAACAGGAATATAAATAGAACAACAATTTATAACATAAATCTGTGATGGCAACTGCACTCCAGAACAAAATAGAAAATACATAATTAGTAAAGTCACGCCTTCATTCCCTGGAAAGAGGATGACAGTATCCTGAAGAGTCCATCTGGGTTATCAGTATGTACCTGTTATGGACAAAGTTAAATCCTATTTTGAATAATGTCATAAGCAAGCCATCCAAAACACAATTCATCCTCATTCCACAAACCGAATCACTACAAACATGAACATGCAAATTCCTTATACGTGCATACCCTCCTCAGTCAAATTAGGAGAGAGAATTTGCACTAGCGTGTGTGTGTGGATGATACAAAGCTACGCTTAAGCTTTTAAGCTTTATTCTAACATTTGTTTGGAACTTTTTAACATCAAACCAAATAGCTTAAGACTTTTGATTAACCAATCCTGAAGAAAGAGATCTAGGTGGTGGAGTCAATGTTGCCTGCGCCATTGAATTCTCTAAGGAGGTCACCAGATCAACTCAAACTTTTGATAGCATATTAGAATTTTAAGATCCCAGTTTTGAGTATAAGATACTTTATAGACACAGATTTAAAGAGAATGTAAAGATAGAAAACTGAATTTCTAACATGAGAATGGACCGTGTAAGGTGAAAGGCATGCAAAGAAGGGGACCATACTCTAAAAGAGTAACTATATAACATACCCAGTGGCCAGCATCTTCAAGGACATGCATTTGAACTCCACCTCCTTCCTCAGAAGCAAGCTCCTCCGCAACATGGATTCGCTGAAGATCTTCAAGAGCCCATCTGTGTAGGCTCCTCTCTGCTTTCAAAAAGTTTATATGCACACCACGAGGTACATCTTCAACAACTTTCCTGTGAACAGAATCATAAGATATTACAGGACCCAAAATAATCTTCTAGTGTGAAAATTTTACAATTCAAATTTGAAAGCGATTGCATCTATTGTTAATCTTGGCATCAGTATATGCATTAAACGTGAAATTTATTTCTTCAGCAGTCCACATTAAATACTCCCTCTGTCTCTAAATAAGTGTCTTTTTAGCCAAAAAAATTTGTCACAAAATAATAGTCTCTTTACTTTTCCAATGCAATATTAATTAACTTTTACCAACTTTATTTCTAATAAATATTGTCTACACTCCTTTCAAGGTAGAAAATCATACTATGCATTTATGACAATGTATAACAACCTATAGTAATTAAGGTTAATTTTGTAAAAACGTTACCTTTATTGACTCAATCATTATTTTTCTTAATATGTGTGTAACAACCTTAAACGACTTTTATTTTGAGACGGAAGGATATCAAATTAACAGCAATGCAGGACCTCCCACAATTATTCATTCATTCTAATTATACACTAAACAGGACCCTATTTTACCGAGTTAGAGAAGGTTGATATAAACCAATACTTTACTGCTAGTGTTGTTAACACAGATCAAGGTAAGTACCACAAATTTGTTTCTTCATAAGATTGATACATTTCTGATATCCCCTTCAGGTCAAACACCCATGAGAGGCGTGAATTAGGAGAGCTGGTAGGTCGTAGGTTGGTCACAACCCACTACATGAAAAAAAGAGGGGAAAAGTTAAAAAATCGTAGACAAATTGCCAATCAAAAGAACACGTCTATTTTTGGGCTTTGGCCCGTCCATTATCAAAAGAAAAAGCACATCTATTTCTTCCATCTTTGTTAGTTTTAATGTGAATTGTCTTATTTATAATCTCCAACATGTTCATCAAGGAAGAAAAGCTCTAAAATACTTTAATAGCTTAATTAATCAGCCATCTGATGAAATGATTATAGCATATATGACAAAGTCAGAATTCAAATTCAGATAGACATGCAATCAGAACTTGCTTAGAGGGTAAACCACAGACAATTCATTAATATAATAGCTGAGTTCATTCTTTACTTATTAGTCATACAGTAGGTTAGATTCTTCTAAAACTCTGTTATCACCTGATGCCAATGAGATAGTATGGTATGATCAAATATGGTTTGGATAGTCACTGAAGAGCAGGGGATTAACTGGGATGGTATGACCAAATATGTCAACTTTGGGCTATAGCTTCGTCTAACATGGCCTTATTAATATTATAATTGAACCAAGTACATGTATGCAGTATCCAATCATCAATAAACAAGAGAATTTTAAATACTACATAACCAAGCAATAATACGTGCACGATTTGAAAAGTGATCAGTATCAAAGTAAGCCATGGTTCTGTACCTGTGCTACATCATTGGAAAATCCTTGTTGAATAAGAGCTTTGAGAACATCCTTCTTTGAAGAGACCTTCCTTAAGAAAAATACCATCCAGAAATAAAAAATTTGCTCATAAAAGGAACAGTAATAACAGATAAGAGAATGAGAAAAAAATCGAGTGAGTGAAATTTAATTTTTAAAAGCTTGATTTCATTCAACAGAGTTCGTTACATCATTTTGTTTATATAAACATGCTAGTCTGTTTTGTTGTGCAAGTCTGGTCGTGCGGACAATGGACTAAAGCACAGACAATAAATGTAGTGTCTGAGAATGAGCAGATGGTTAGATGAAGCTGATATTTCAATAGCATGTAGATAGGCTGAAGGTAGTTCTAATGGTGTAGGTTTCGGCTGATAACTCAAAAAAATTTATGATGGCAGGTGGCTCTGAAGGTGATCTGAAAATAGTTTTGAATATAGAAGAGTCCATACAACGGACAAGAGTGGAAACCATATCAAAACCGACAGAAGCAAGCGACAGTCACTAGAAAAGAAGTTTCATGGTGGCCATAAATAGGGCTAACGGCGAAAAATGGAGATAAGACAAATGAACATGACTCTATTTACATGATATACAGTACAACCATAACTACCCTATTTACATTCAGGCACACTTCTTCAGATGTCAGAATAAATACCAAATAAAAGCAAAAGGCAGCACATACAAATTGTACACAATTTAACATGGTTCAGCTCAAAATCCTACATCCATGATGAAAACGGATCAAGTATTCTATCAAAAAACAAGAGAGCATGCAAATGTTTATGGAACTCTCAATCTCCTTTTATCTAAAGACTACCTTACCACAATACCACTAACCCTAGATGGCTTGATCTAGGCAAAACCCTACTATGGTTGTATAACCTTGCGAACAGTCTTTTTCACACGCTTATCCTCATTCGCATATCTCTAACAATTCCCTCATGTACAAATTCATAGCCCACCACGATACTTTGGTTGGCAGGCAACCACTTTTACACAATCTTTATGACTTTACTAGTCTCATCATACTAAAAGTAAATAGTTCACGTAACTTACACACACCATGATATTAGTTACAATTTGAATGTACTGACAGAATAGGAAATTGTCAATACTTATCAAAACAAGAATTCAGGTTAAGACCAACAACTACACTTTAAGAAACCAAACCAAAAGCAACGTATTAAATCAAATTAAGATCACCATTACATTCATTTACTCAAAAAACAAGTTAAGTGAGAAAAGCATTAGAAGAATCAACTAAAGCTCTACCTCCTTTGGCAGTGTATTTAATAAGGATATGAGTTCTTCTGGGTGGTCCTCTCCATTTCCACCTGCTCTAACTTTTCCGGGGGTTGCATCCAGAATCCAAGCCTTCAAATAGCATAGGAATATGAGAGTATAGTCTAGTGTAGCAAATAAGAAGACATGAAATATAATTGTACTCTGATAGAAAATGATACCAAGCATAGATATATAAAGGAAATAACTGACTGCTATTATTTAAAAATTCTGGTTAGTGTGGACAAATTTTGGATTGCAGCAGGAAATCAAGTTTACAGAATTGTGAGAAAGAAAACAAAGCTATCCAAGAAATTTGAGATTTTCGGTCTCCCCCTTTCAAAAATTCGAGAGCTTGGTCTCTTCCAATCAATATCCAGCCCCGAAATAAAATGTCTGCGACTTCTCCTTCCACTTTCCTATTTAATAGATAATTGTCAACAACATAACTGATGCCTAATACATAACTGCTTCCAAATAATATAATAACAATACTAATAAGAGGTCTAACATAATTTGAAAGCTATGTATTTTAAGGGCTTTTTTGAACATTTTTAACTCCTTCGGAAGTGTGGCAATAGAAGCTGTGACATCTGTTATTTTGGCTACTACACTAAACTGCTCCGCTACAGCAGATCCTGTAGTGGCCAGAGGCTGCTCCACTCCACTACACCGCCATAGCCCATTATTGACAACACTGGTCAGTGGTAAACAACCTCAAATTGGAAGAATCCTATGATCAACATACCCCCCAAGTCGCATAACCTCCAATATCAGCACGTACTTGATAGATACGGTATACTAGTTTATACCAGAAAGCGCAGAAATAGAGGGAGAGAAGCACAAGATCAGGGCGATGTAACTGATTCATCTAATTGAATGCGGCAGATATTACTGATTCATCTAATTGAATGCAGCAGATATTACTGATTCATCTAATTGAATGCAGCAGATATGACTGGCAGGTGACAGTGAGAGAATCGGGCTCTAGATCCTATTTATAGGTAACAAATCATGGGAATTAGGGGGAAATTATTCAGATTGCAGTGAGTGCATAGGAGTGCTAAGCAGCTCGAAATGCTTACCCTATTTTAATTTACAGTATTTCTTTATCTCTTTCATAGTATATTATACACATGGTTAGATCCCGTTTGATCTCTAATCTTATTTCCTAAATAATACAATATTACTTTTCTTTCTTTTGAATTCTATGTTGTGATTTCTATTCATAGACCCATTGGATCCTATCAATTGGTATCCATAGCCTTGGTTAGATCTTCATCAGTTAATGGTCGTGACGACACGAAGCATTATGGATAATAGAATCGAACTCGTAGATAAGAAAACGAGCGTGATGGAAGCAACAATGGAACAAATGCGACAGATGATGGTAGAAATACACTCACGTCCCCAGATATCGTTGGATCAAGTTCTTCAACTTATTGTTGAAACACAACCTCGCCGTCGTCAAGGGAGTAATCATAACCACGAGGAAGACGAGTGGAACGACCAGAGCGCCGACTCATCAGGATCACGATGTTGCCTAACACGTAACAATGGTGGTCACCGTTTGGGTTTGGGAGGAAGTAGGAGGCGATTAGAGATTCCAATTTTCAAAGAGGAGGATGCGTATGGGTGGTTAGTACGAATGGAACGTTATTTTAGGTTGAATGAAACACGTCTGCTGTACAAGGTGGATACGGTGGTTTTGGCGCTAGAAGAGAAGGCTTTGAACTGGTTTCAATGGTGGGAGGAGCAAACACCATTGAGAACGTGGAAAGGGTTCAAAATAGCAGTCCTTAGAAGATTCCAACCTGGGTTACTGCAGAACCCATTGGGACCACTGTTGAGTTTGAGGCAAAAGGGTACTGTGATGGAGTACAGGGACAAGTTTGAAGGACTTGTAGCACCTCTTCGTAGGGAGGAAAGGGTGATGTTGGAGTCAATTTTTTAAATGACTTGAAGGAGGAAATTCAAGCAGAATTAAAATTATATGAGAGTCATGACTTAGCTGAATTAATGGACAGGGCTTTATTCATTGAAGAAAAAAATGAAGTGGTTTGGAAGAAGTGGCTGGAGGGATAAGGGAGGTACCACGAGGTTCAAGGACCCTGGTGAGTACAGTGGGTTTAAGAAGGAGAATGAGAAGAGTGGTTCAGTGACTACTGATAAGCCAAAAGGAAGAAGACTTAACCCTGCTGAATTGGAGGAAAGGAGTAAGAAGGGACTGTGTTTCAAGTGTGGGGATAAATGGAAATAGAGAACATGTGTGCAAGTTCAAGCACATGCAACTGAAATTATGTGAAGCAAGTAGTGAAGAGGAGGAAGGAGAAGACCAGGGGACAGAGCAGAAGGAGGAGGGTGAAACAGTAGAGGAGTTAAAGACTTTACAACTGTCTTTGCAGAGTAAAGAAGGATTCACTTCCAACAAGTCTTTTAAGGTGTAGGCTGACATAGGAGGCAGAAGGGTGTTGACGTTGATAGACTCAGAAGCTACAAGCAATTTCATAGCTTCTAAATTGGTAACTGAGCTCAGTTTAGCGGTAACTGAGACACCTACTTATGTCATTGAAGTGGGGAATGGAGAGAAGGTGAAGAATCAGGGGGTATGTGAAGAGTTGGAATTCAACATCCAAGATGTTAAGTTCTAACAACATTTTTTTATCATGGAACTTAGTGGTTCAGAGATGGTGTTAGGCATGGACTGGTTAGCAAGTCTAGGCAACATAGAAGCAAATTTTGGCAACTTATGCTTGAAGTGGGAAGTGCAAGGGAACAAGCATATTATTCAAGGAGATCCATCCATGTGTAATAGCCAAGTAAATTGGAGAACCATGTTAAAGGCTATTTCTAAGGAAGGGATGGGATTCTATGTGCAAGAAGTAGAAGGAGAGTTGAAGGACAAGATAAATCATGGAATTACTTCTGACTGGGAAGAAGTAGTGGCAAGATTTGAAGATGCGTTCAACATACCTATGGGGTTGCCACCACATAGGAAACATGATCATGCTATAGTATTACAACCAGGTGCAGTTATCCCTAACCTAAGGCCATACAGATATCCATTTTACCAAAAGAATGAAATAGAGAAAATGGTAAAAGAAATGATGCAGGCTGGAATTATCAGGCATAGCACAAGCCCTTTCTCAAGTCCTATTCTGTTAGTAAAGAAGAAAGACGGAGGTTGGAGGTTCTGCACTGACTACAGAGCTTTAAACAAGCTGACTGTGGCTAATAAGTTTCCTATACCTGTGATTGAAGAGTTACTAGATGAATTAGGTGGTGCTACCATATTTTCTAAATTGGATTTAAAATCTGGTTATCACCAGATTAGAATGAAAGAATCAGATATAGCCAAAATTGCTTTTAGGATCCATGAGGGCCACTATGAATACTTAGTCATGCCTTTTGGCTTGACCAATGCTCCCTCTACATTCCAAGCATTGATGAATGAGGTGTTAAAGCCGTATTTGAGAAAATTTGTATTAGTCTTTTTTGATGATATTCTCATTTACAGCACCAACAAGGCTGAACATGTATTACATTTAACAAAAATTCTGCAAACTCTACAAAATCACAAATTGTTTGCAAATAGAAAAAAATGTTCATTTGGCCAGGCAGAGATTGAGTACTTGGGCCATATTATTTCTGGTGGGGGAGTATCAGTTGATCCTAAGAAAATAGAAGATATGTTAAAGTGGCCTATTCCTAAGGATTTAAAAGGGCTGAGGGGATTTTTGGGCTTAACTGGCTACTACAGGAGATTTGTCAAGAACTATAGCAAAATAGTTTGGCCATTAATACAGTTACTGAAGAAAGATAATTTTAAATGGGGTGAAGAACCCCAACAGGCCTTTGAAATCTTAAAGAGAGCAATGACCACTATACCAGTCCTAGCTATGCCAGATTTTAAGAAGGATTTCGTGTTAGAAACTGATGCTTCTGGCCATGGGGGAGTATCAGCTGATCCTAAGAAAATAGAAGATATGTTAAAGTAGCCTATTCCTAAGGATTTAAAAGGGCTGAGGGAATTTTTGGGCTTAACTGGCTACTACAGGAGATTTGTCAAGAACTATAGCAAAATAGCTTGGCCATTAACACAGTTACTGAAGAAAGATAATTTTAAATGGGGTGAAGAACCCCAACAGGCCTTTGAAATCTAAAAGAGAGCAATGACCACTATACCAGTCCTAGCTATGCCAGATTTTAAGAAGGATTTCGTGTTAGAAACTGATGCTTCTGGCCATGGGATAGGTGCAGTGTTGATGCAGGAAGGAAAACCAATAGCATACATGAGCCAGACCTTATCTGTTAGAGCCCAAAGTAAGTCTGTGTATGAGAGGGAACTTATGGCCATAGTAATAGCTGTACAAAAATGGAGTCATATTTGCTGCATTTAATTAGATGAATCTGTCGTATCTGCTGCATTCAATTAGATGAATCAGTAATATCTGCTGCATTTTAGTAAGTAACTCAACGAGTCATCCTGGCTATCAATTTAGAGGTGGTAAATTGTTTCATGAAGGAAGGATAGTGATTCCAAAACAATCACCCAGGATTGCTTGGATCCTACATGAATTTCATGATACGGCAACGGGAGGACATTCGGGCTATCTAAGGACTTACAAGAAAATTGCAGGCTTGGTGTACTGGGAAGGGATGAGGAAATGCATCAAGTCCTATGTTGAATCTTGTGAAGTTTGCCAAAGGAATAAATACCAAACGTTGAGTCCAGGTGGTTTTCTACAACCATTACCTATTCCCACACAATTGCGGAGTGAAATATCCATGGATTTCATTGGTGGATTACCCAAAGTTCAAGGAATAGATACTATTATGGTCGTGGTTGACAGGTTGACTAAATATGCTCATTTCCTGCCTGTGAAGCATCCTTACACGGCCAAAGATATAGCAGAACTATTTGTCAAGGAAATAGTCAGACTGCATGGATTTCCTAGTTCAATAGTTTCCGACAGGGACAAAGTTTTTCTGAGTTCATTTTGGACAGAGTTGTTCAAACAAGCTGGTACAAAGTTGAAGTACAGTAGTGCATATCATCCCCAGACTGATGGACAGACCGAGGTAGTAAATAGATGCATGGAAACGTACTTAAGGTGCTTGACAGGGAGGCAGCCTAAAATGTGGCCTAAATGGTTATCTTGGACAGAATTTTGGTATAATACCAATTACCATGCCTCTCTTAAATCCACTCCTTTTGAAGCCTTATATGAGAGAAGGCCACCAGTGTTAGTTAGAGGAGATGTGCATCTTTCTGCAGTAGAAGAAGTCAACAAACTAACTGCTGAAAGGAATGAAATGATTAGGGAAATGAAAGAGCAATTGCTGAAAGCGCAAGACCAAATGAGGGTACAAGCCAACAAGCATAAAAGAGAGGTGGATTATCAGGTAGGAGATAAGGTTTATTTAAAAATCCAACCTTATAAGTTACAAAAGTTGGCCAAGAGGTTCAATCAAAAGCTAAGCCCTAGATATTATGGACCCTATGAGATAATGGAAAGAGTAGGGGCTGTGGCTTACAAACTCAAATTACCAGAAGATAGTAGAGTACATCCAGTATCCCATGCATCCCTGTTAAAAAAAACAGTCTCAGCAAATGTAGAGACTCAACCCTTACCTACTTGCATGAATGAGAGTTGGCAACTGGAACCAGGCCCTGAGGAAGCAAGGAACACTAGAGTAAATGATAAGGGGGAGTTAGAAGTCTTAGTGAAGTGGAAAGGACAACCAGAATTTGAAAATTCATGGGAATTGGTGGAAAAGACGAGACAAGAGTTCGCTGACTTTCTCTTTGAGGTCAAAGAGAGTCTTGAAGGAGGGGGTATTGATAGATACGGTATAGTTTATACCAGAAAGCGCAGAAATAGAGGGAGAGAAGCACGAGATCAGGGCGATGTAACTGATTCATCTAATTAAATGCAGCAGATATGACTGATTCATCTAATTGAATGCGGCAGATATTACTGATTCATGTAATTGAATGCAGCAGATATTACTGATTCATCTAATTAAATGCAACAGATATGACTGCCAGGTGACAGCGAGAGAATAGAGCTCTAGATCCTATTTATAGGTAACAAATCATGGGAATTTGGGGGAAATTATTCAGATTGCAGTGAGTGCATAGGAGTGCTAAGCAGCTCGAAATGCTTACCCTATTTTAATTTACAGTATTCTTTATCTCTTTCATAGTATATTGTATACATGGTTAGGTCCCGTTTGATCTCTAATCTTATTTCCTAAATAATACAATATTATTTTTCTTTCTTTTGTGATTTCTATTCCTAGACCCATTGGATCCTATCAGTACTCTGAAGTATTAAGATGATAAAGGGCAACATTTTACAATATCGATAAAATTTTAAACCATTATTCATATTATAACCCTCAGTATTTATTATTCTCTAATTTTTCAACTCTTATAATATCTCTTCCCAATACCACTAATAATTACTTCTATTTATTTATTTTGCTATACCAATGAATACAAGTGTTTGGATAACTCTCTGCACATTTTTCTCTGTATATTTATTTCTGTGCTAAGTTAATGAAACTATATTGTTAAAGTCACACGCCTTTCGGAAGTTGAATCATTTTTTATCATGAAGAATATTAAAAACTTAATAAGGGTACTTTTGGAAAGTAAGCATAATTTTGACAAAAGTAAGTTTTTTTTATTGCATTTCTTAAATGTGCATTGCTAGAATGACATATAATTTGAGGCGGAGGGAGTAATATTTTTGCACACTGTAAGCTTCTACCACACTCCCAGCTGCACCAACCTCTAGAGTGGACGGCATCACCCTCAGACACAATGCAGTAACCAGTCAATAATACAGTTTATTTGGTCCTTTTCCTACATTTGCTACAGAATCCTTGGGGTCTGCTTGTCTACATTTCTGCTTCTCGGGCATGTACTCTGAAGAATTAAGATGATAAAGGGCAACATACTCTCAGGCATATATTATGAAGTATTATGATGATAAAGGGAAAACCGTTTTTCCTATATCCTCCACATCATCACCCTAAAGGTCTTATTAAATCTTATAATGAGTACAGGTCTTTAGAATAGCCCACAAAAAATATGTCCACCAAATCACATATTTTTAACAAAAATATCCAAAAAGTTATATAAACTAAATAGGAATGTAATCCTATCATAATCCTAAAGGATTCTAACAAATCAAACTACCATAAATATCAATATGTCTACAATAAATATCAATATCTCAACAAGTTAATCCAAAATCAGTCCAGCAAAAGCAAATAGCAACTAAATTTGGGCTTACTCTGACTGGTCGAGCAAGAGGTTTTGCAGCTTGGTCCACCATGCTCAAAACAACTGAACATACAACACAATAGAAGTAAAAATGATGTGCACACTATTGAAAAAAGAACAAAAGTAATATCCAATAACTAACCTTTTCCCCCAAAACTATGACCAACTAACACACGAGGTGTTATTCTTAGTTCCCGAACCTAACATTAGAGAGAATGACATTAAATGAAACAGAAAATAATTTATGTGTACATAATACTAATTTATCAATTATCTTTAACTAAATCTATGAAGTACAGAAAATAAGTTTGATTAAGCATTACAAGTTTTATATGCAAGTACAATAAATCTAAAATGTGGAAAACACATTCGGAATGAGGAGAAAAAACTTAAAGGGTTCTCATTCTCACTCAGCAGCAAATCCATAGCAACTCGACCTCTTGCTCTGGAGACAAGTCGCATATATCTTCAAGAAAAACATCAGGAATTACACATCACTGGATATCACAAGCCTTCACATCGCTCTCTATTCTCCGAGAAACAACCATCAACAATACCTGATCGTCATCCCTCAAAGACATCCCAACCTGACCGGCAAACAAGAATCAAGAATCCATACTCTCTTCGGGTTCGGGAAACAGCACAGCAGGATATCATTTAACATTTCACGTCAAAAATGGATAATCTATTGCAACTAAAAATCAAGGGAAATAAAGTGATAATTAAAAAAAATTTGAGGTGTTCACCCAAACTTGATGTAGACCATAAATCATGAAATACATCCAAATGGTTAACCACCAGGTGTCCCATCTCACAAAGTCAAGGTTTAAATTAAATCGAGAGTGTGGCATGAAAGCCATTTAGACCCCTGCCCCATTCTATAGCACGCTCACCATATGAATAATATTTGTGAAACATGTTTAAAAAACACATACCAGTTTCAAAACATCAAGAGCAGCAGATGCAACAGTATGGGGACCTCTCTTCTTGATTGATGTTGAATCACCATGACATCGCAAATCTACTAAAAGAAACTGTCAACACAAACACAAGAAACAAACAGGATTCAGATTGATTTACATCTAGAATGTTCTTGCACTGCAATCCCAATGATCATAATTTGTGAAACCTGGAAAAGAAAATATTGCCTAATAGTAGAGTTCAATAACGCAATCCATAGTATATTTATTCCATCATAAATAAACAAGAAGGTGGACGTCATTATTGCAACTAAGGTTTTCAACTTTGTAAAAAATTTCAAATTTCCAAAATCATGGAAATACATGTTTCATTTATAGTGTGAAGGTCTCTATAGTGTTAGTAGATGAAAATTAAATCCATAGCCATAATGCGTAATAGAACCATTAAGTATTTATTCCGGAACTAAAATATAACAAAGCACAAAAATGTACATCAACATACCTGCCACATAGGAAACTCTCTTGCCAATCTCTTTGCAAAAGTACCTGAAACATCATTCTTCCAACAATGAATTATGAAATAAACAACTAATTCTCCCCTTTTAAATTTGCCTGACAAACCATGCAAAATATCTAGCGCAGATATCTAACACCATATTAGAACTACAACAAAAGAAGAAATTAGAAAAACAAAATTAAAGGTTTAACATCATTGAGTTAGGAAACCAGGGTTAAGTGACTCGCTCATCCTTTTGATCAAAATACTACAAATCATCCCCTTGACAAAATTACACATGGATGCTAGTGACACTACATGGTCATGCATAAAAGTGCAAGAATTAAATTCAACCGCATATATGAAGATTGAGAATGTCTCCTTCTTGAGGTGCTAGAGTTTTATAAATGATTTCCATGTGTTCAAACATTCCTCATTATGTATGCAATAAAAAATAATTCTTATCGGCTTTGACATTTACTAGACACGGCTGGGAAACCTCTCAGACGCTTAGGGGAAGCCACTCCGAACCCTTACATCCTATATTAACACAAACACGTGTATATATAGAGGGTGTATCCAGCAAGGGACTGGTGGGAGAAAATATTCAATAAATCATAAAGAAGAGTAAGTTAAATTTAGGTAATTTATATTTTATTGGTAAAACGTGAAACTTTGGCAATAGAACCATTAGCCAAGGTCAAACTCTCCAATATGCTGAATGTCGACCAACAAGGAAATCCCAGAAAAACATCAACTTACTGTGTTTTACAGAACTCCTTGTTTCACTAGAATCCCTATAATTTCAATTCCATAAATTACATTGTTCAATATTGCATTTTCATGCAATGTGGTCCTTCAGAACCTTAAAGATGAATGGCCATACCAGCAACAAAAACAGATATTTAATTAACAAATAATAATAAAACTAAAATAACATGGAATCGGAACCATTCATATGGAACTGAAAGTACAGACCAAAATGATTAAACTTTTATATATTAGCAAACACCGATACATCTTCATCATTGAAACTCGAACAATAAAATCAGTAAAATACTGATCCATTTTTGCTCGAATAGAAAAGCAAGAGTTTTAAATGCCCGATCATACAGTAACTATGAATATAGCAGATCTCCCACCAAGACCAAAGGAATCTAAGACTGAGTTTTGAGAGCAAGTAAGAGAGGAGAGTAGTCTGACAGGGCGGAATACATTGCTGCAAAACGATAACGATGCACATTATACAGAAATAGTAGCACTTACCCCAGTTTTTCCTGCACCCAAGGATCCCGTGCAAAAAGACAGCTGTTGGTGTATCAGGTAAAGATCTGTCCATAACAGAACTCCACCTCACCTGTATACCAAATATTTCTGTGTATTAGTCTATTGAAATGTTCATACAGTTCCAGACCTTTAATTTGCAAACTTGTATCCCACTCTCTATATAATACAGTTTCAAATCTATTTGCCATGAAGCCTTTTGAACATTATGTTCAACAACTAATGACTGAGTGACTTAAAGAGGTCAATGAGGGTGGATGTTCTTTGATTGTCAGCAAAGAACAACTGAACAGGATATGGAAATTAAAAATGAATACAGTCCTCACACGCACACCATCACCCTAATACATCTAGAAAGTGAGAAGATTAACTATCGCCTAACTTAGAAATAATTAACTGAAATGAAATGGAGAATCACGGAATAAATAATACTCACAAGTGCCCCTTGAACCAAATCATATGCCTGAGACATAATAAAAATAACAAAAAAGGCATCAGTTGTAATAAACAAAGACAAAATCAGATAACTATTCTCTACAACTACTGTGTAAAGAATCAAGCATTTCACAGCAAATAAATGAATCGTAAAACTGCGTGCAACGAACTATGAAGATTACCAAAATGCTAGAGGAGCTGGCCACATCTGCCTTTTGTTCAACAGTATCGCGCACTAATGCCATTGATATTGTCCTAACTTTAACTCCACGGCTGGAGTGACTAAGAGCCAATCTAGAGACGTTGAATTCCTCATTCTAAATTAGAAAAGCAAACAGATCAATGCATAGCTCGCAAATGTTCAAAGTCAAAGTAACAACGTCTAACAATATTACAACACTGTTACTAAATTTCAGTTACTAAATACAAAGTTCAAAGCCTCAAACGAGAAAATAGAAACATAATGGATTATATAAACCAATTCAAGCACTGAAATAGTTGAAATTACACAACCGAAAACTCAAATGCGACTGAAATGCAAGTAGCGATATCGGATATGTGAGAATTTTGCAGCATAGAAATAATCAAAGTTAATAGCGGATTAAAAATGGAGACCTGAGGGAAGCGAAGATTGCGAGGTGTTGCAGCCTTGCGTGAATTGGAGGAAAACGTCGAATTCAGATCCAATGAGTTAACCGCGGTGGTGGCGGTGAAGCAGGTGGGAGAATTGGTGAATAGCGGCATAGTAGCGTAATGGAAAATGGAGACACGGTGATTGCTGTGGTGTCTCCGAACCTCCCTGACGGAGAAAGAGAGGAGCCGCCAATATAGGCTCAACGATTTTCTTCTTTTTCTATACACGCGCTTTTTTCTTTAAATTAAATACTTTCTTGTTTTGATTTTAATTGTCTGCTTCTTCTTCTTCTTCTTTTTTTTTTTTTGCCAGCTGGTGTCTTTCTGGATAACCGAATCGGGTACTGTGGCTGCTTCACGCAGTTTTCAGAAGAAGACGATCTTGATCATAGATATGATCTAACAGCTTTGATTTATACATGTATTATTTGATCTTAACCGTTCATTTTCTATCAAACACTCAACAGAGGTACTGTGTGAAATCTGAATCGCTATCTTATGTAGGTTAGTAGTAAATCTTTCAAATTTTCAGTTTAATTAATTGAAAACGGAAAATGGGAAGCACCGTCCATTGCGAATTGCCAACGCTTAACCGTATAAACTGAGAGCTGCTGCCACGTACTAAATTTTTAATATTTAAAATTAAGATTTTTATTTCTTAAATAAAAGCAAGTGTTAGTTAATAAAATAAATATTTTATTAATAATTATCAGTTAGATGAAAATTTAGTTAATTGTACGCCTATTGAATATTATATCATTCTATAAAATTAATTTTTAATCTTATTAAAAATTAAAAATAGATTATTTTATATTTTTAATAATATTAATTAATATGGATAAAAGTTATTTGTGAGAATTTTTTTTATTAATAACCATGTATTAAAATAATATTTCGCAAATAACCGGGTTTCGGAAAAAATTACGCAAATAACCATGTTTCAGATGACTCTCCAAAGGAGGAGCCATCTGAAATGGCGCATGCACTTATATTTTAAGGGGAGGCGCCATCTCACTTGGCGCCTATGTGCTTAGGGCATGCCCTAAGTCAAGTGAGATGGCGCTGTTTACAGTGATTTCTGGTAAACAATCGCTAGTCTTCCAAACTATCGAATAAACTTACTGACTGTTATTCAATTTCTCTGGTAACTCGCAGGATCGACTAGATTGATCCTAGGACGTGTTGGTTATTAGGGTAACTCTCATGATCGAACAGGTATTCATGGTTGGTATTTAGAATGTTGCGTAGGTGTTTGACTTATTTCGATTTCTCTCTTAAAGATCTAAAGGTGTAATCAAAATATATGTGCGCGAAACTAAATTGCATGAATAAATGTTAATTGTAAAGACATGTAAAATTGCATAAAAGATAAGTAAATGGCTTCGAAACGTAAAACAAAACAGTTAATGTAAAAGATTCGAAATGCGAAGAAAGCGTTTAATGCAAGAAATCTGTAAAATGACTTTAAGTAAAAATAGGTGTTCGAAGGATAAAAACTTGAAGATAAAGGCATGAAAAGTATGACAGTTTTCTGAAATGTAAAGTGTTTGAAATGGAAAGAAAGCATTTAAATGTAAGGCATCAATGAAAAGATTTCGAATAAAAAGACTTTAAATGAGAAAACTTGTAAATGGTATTTGACAGAAAGATAAAGGAAAGTACTGGAAATGATAAAGGGTTTTCATTAAATCATAAACATGTGGTGCTATCATACGTACATTGCTCTTGCATTCGTTTCCCTAGCCATGTGGTAATTTGAATGTTTACTGAGTGTTTTGTACAAACAGATATGACACACGAAATCCTAATGCTAAGACTTCTATTTATACTACTTCGACCATAACGGTCTTGCTATAAGATTCTGCCACGTTCAGAACATGCAGAACAATGCCTCTCTCTTGTTTCCACGTGTCTTCGAGTGCTCCAGCGCATATATTTCAAATTTCGAACATCCCGCTTGCATTTGAATTTCAAATGTTTTAGCACTTCTTCGCTTCGACCGCACTTTTTAGACACAGTCTTGTTGTCATTTCGAGACTTCTTTAGATATGTTCTCATAATTGCCACTCGAAGCTCCAAGCCTTGATATGCTCATTCGAAACACTGCTTCTGCTATTTCGAAACACGACATTTTGTTTCATTTCAATCGAAACGTCCACTTACTTTGCTTCTAATAATACTATCAAAATCTTCAGCCAACAAAATGCCCTTTTAAAATATGTATTTCGATCTCTTTGAGAAATACTTATTTTAAACATATACACAAGATTTTGATGCGACCTTCGAATCATCGTAACATTTAATGCATTTGACTCCAGTCACGTCAATCATAACACTTTTTAGATTCCTTAACCGCCTGGAACCACTTCACAGTATGGTGCAGTTACAAAATAATGATTATCTTTTAATCATGCCTTTTACCAATGTTAACTTTACGCCACCTCTTCATCAAACCAACCCATGATTTCCACGTATCACAACCTTATTCAGTGGATGCTTAAACTTCCACATTATAAAAACCATCAACTTAGTCTTTTTCTTTTCTTTCCACATTCTGAATCTTTTATCCTTCTTTTCTCACCGAAAACCCTAAGCTTTCAACATTCTTCCAACAATGTCTTCTTCTACTTCATCCCAACTAAAAAAGGTTTCCAAGAAGAAAGGAAAGACCGCAGGAACTACAATGGAAAGTAAAGTTGTCACTCACCAAGGTCAATCTGTTCTTGTTCCCCAGATGATCTCAAAGGAAAAAGAAATGCTTTATGCATCCCAGGTACTTATTCCTACCACCGCTGCTGGTAAGAGGTTAGCTTTAATGGGCCCTCTTACAGTTTTTGAAATTTTAAAAGATACCAGAAAAATTTTCCCAGTTTGCTATAATTTCAAACCCTTGTTTAACAAAATGGACGCCCCTAAGGCAATAGAATCTTCTGGCTCAAACACCATGGAAAATCCAACTGTTCCTCCTAAGGACCCTTTTGTATTAGACTACGTAAAGAGTAACTTCAAACCCTTTCGATCTTACCCTACCTCCGACACTGCTTATCAAAACTGGTTCAATAAGGTAGAAGCTAAGAATTCCCAGCAATGGGAAGAATTAGGTATCTACAACTTGATTAAGCTGTCGAAGCCAGGTTTTACTTACAGCCACCCTTTGTTATTTGCGTCCCTATATTTCTGGGACAGTACTTATAATACTTTCCATCTCCCTGGTGGAATGATCACCCCTACCTTCTTTGACATAGCGGCCATCACTGGGCTATCACCAGTAGGAGAAACATATATCCCTGACAACAAAGAACATTCAAGCATAATCGACTTCGAAGTCAAACTAGCAAGCTTTTCCAAGTTTATCAGTCACTACCATGCTGAAGGAGATAGTGTGTCTGATGTAGAACACATTGCTTTCCTTACCCTATGGCTGTCAAGATATGTCTTCTGCAGTAGATCCCTACAGGTAGCCAGTAGGTTTATTCCTCTAGCTAGGGATTTGCATGAGAATCGAAGAGTGTGCTTGAGCGAATTGCTACTAGTTGACCTTTATGAAAGCCTAAGGTCAGCTGTTTCGAGCCTAAAATCTCATACCTCCAAGAATATCCTGTTAGCTGGCCCTTTTTGGTTACTTCAGCTATGGCTAAATGCCATGTTCGAACCTTCCTTGTCAACTGCCAACACCATTGATGAACAAGACCCTGAAATAACTGATAGAATAGTCGAAGGCACTAGGTTGCGAAGATTAACTCCAAATGACGACAAAGATGACTTCAAAATCCTATTCTCGAAGTACATCATGATATTCTCTAAGAGGCATAAGTTCGAAGAGACCATGGCGCCTTTTGCTTCAAGGGCTCATGGACCTTCATGGTTCACCATGGCTCTTTCAGAAGCTGTCAAGAGCAAGGAGATTCAAGATGTATAGAGAGCCTTTTTGCTACCTAGACTCATTTCTTCAAGAATAACTCCTGCCAAGAATCAGATTTTCCTTTTCGCTTACCAGCCAAATTTTGTTTCGAGACAGTTTGGCTTATGCCAACTAATTCCTGAACCCTTATTTCAAACTGAGAGTGCCATTACCTCTAGGCGAACCTTCAAGGCACGGGAAGCCAAATTACAGCAAGAACAATACCAAGGCTTTGCCCAGTTTGAGCTAATATCTTTCGAACCTACCCATCTTACAGCTAAGGGGTTTCTGGAATGGTGGACCAAGTTTTATCAAACTTATATGTTCGATACTCTTACAATTCAGCAGAAACTAATTGATGCCTTCGATATGCAGGTACCAGCCAAGAAAGGTATGTTCACTCATGCCAAAGAGATTAAAGCTTTTCAAAATTATTTCGAAACTACTTATGATCCCACACACTTGGAATCCACTGTGCATCAAGCGGCTGAGACCTTGAAGGAAAAATTCAAAGAAAAAGTTTCTAAGTTAAAACTTCCTTCAGGGTTGTCACCTGAGGATAGGTATAGGTTGGCATTCGAAATGCACCCACCTAAATTTCCTAGATTACCTACCTCAGAACTGGCTCTGGCTTGGTTTCCCCCATACCCTTGGTGGTTCACTTGCAAAGAGATGTTCAAACATCTTCAAAAGAAACCAAAGCCATCTGAGACTGTGACATGGGCTCTATTGTACCCCAAAATTTTCCCTCCCATTTTCTCAACATTTTCTCATCACAAGACCCTTGGAGCTCAAGATCCAGTTAGGGTTTCCTCTGCTCAAGACTTCTCCTTGCACTGTTGACCCAAATTAGGGTTTGTGTTTGCACAAAGATATTTTGACCTAAAATGCCTAAGATGACTTTCATGCTTCATGTTGGACTCACAAGTTTATCCATACCAAGTTTTAAGTCTTGATTCCAAATTTTGCCCAGTCAATTGGACAGTTGACCTAGAAATCAACTGTATTGGGGAAAAAGTCAACTGTGGCCAATTGACAGTCAAATCTCATGAAAATTGACCCACATCAACATTATGAACTCACATGGACCATTTGATCAAGTTTGGATCACAATTCCACAAGAAATTTGATCAGATCACCAAAAGGGCAAAATGGTCATTTTTAGGGTTTTGACTGCACAAAGACAATTTTTGACTGTTTGACCTAGCCA